AAAAAAAAAAAAAAAAAGAATGGCTACGCTCTATTATCATTGTGATACCCAGTGTAATCACCCACAGTGATTTAAGCTTTACAAGCCCCATTCTTTAGAGACTTTCTTGGTATCTAGTTTAAATAGGTAAATAGATATTTAAAATATCTTAAGAATATGTATCCTTAATATATTAATCCTTAATTTATTATGTCTATAACCTATTTTTAAAATAAAAACTGGGCATCCCGCTATCCGTATTGAAAATTGACACAGTGAGACTTTTTTGAACACTCAGCTGCTCAAAACATCTTTTTAATAGTAACAGATGTAGTAAATTTAAGACAGATGGTGGCAATAAAATAGGTGAGTCATGCCATGCAGTGTCTGAGAAGTTGGGATAGGCAGAGTGTCTGCTCTGCAGCAACGAGCCTGCAAGGTCTGCAGCGGGCGCCCCTTTTACCCAGCTGCATTCTTCTCCAGAAACTCACTGATTAATATGAGTAAAAATGCCAGTGTAGGCAGACCCTCAAGTAAACATGTACAACATGACCAGAGCAAACCGTCGGTATGGCCAGGGCCCTTACTGGCATATCCGACAAGATGTCAGGAATAGAACAGGTGAGATGAGAGATGTGCTCTGCTAGATGCACCAGGGCAGAGACTTTCAACCGTGTGCCGCAAGAGTTTTTAAAACATACAATGTCTGACTATTTAGTCAGGGGCACTGACCTCTTCCCTCAGATTGCCAAATTAAAAAAATGACAACGGCCAACACAACAATGGCCGTCTGGTGTGGATGAATCAAAATTTTACCTACTCTTTTTGTCAGATGAGCAAAAAATATATTTTGGTGTGCCGCAGAATTTTAGTAATTCATTTGCGTGCCACGAGATGAAAAAGGTTGATAATTGCTGCCCTAGGGGATACGACAGAAAGTCAGATGCTTTCGGGATGTAGACCAAGGGAGACTAAAGAATAGAAAGAAAAAACCAAACAGAATGACAGAAAATGTGCCATGAGCGAGAAAAGGGCGCACCCTGCGCTTCCCATCCAGGTTAAAGCATCTCAGAGGCTAACATTGAACCAGTCATGGCCCTGGCTTTTCTAGCCTCAATCCCTCTCCTAATGGAAAATAAACATTTTTATTAAAACAATCCCGACAGCCCTGGCCGGCGGCTCCGAGGTTAGAGCGCCGGCCCTGCCGGAGGGCCGCAGGTTCGGGTCCCAGGCAAGGGCACCCATCTGGGGGGCAGGGTCCACCCTGCCCGAGTCACGGTGCCTGCGGGAGGCCACCAACCATGTGCCTCTCTCACACCGACGTTTCTTCTCCCCCTCCCTCCCGCTCTCTCTAAAAATCAACGGAAACAATATCCTCGGGTGAGGGTTAACGGCAGCCAACGCCCTGACTTCTCCAACTGAAAGAGGGCAGAAGACAGCCGATGGGAACGGTGACCGAATTCCAGGCAGTGACTCGCTCAAAGGAACAGAGAAAGGCAGGCAGCTCAAAGCGGCCCGGACCACACGAAACACCCCAGACGGTCAGGCATCGCTGCCCCGCCGTCGTCACTGTCCTGATGCCGGCGTCATCACCATTCTGTTCTTAAAAGGCATTCTTAGTCCCCTCCGGTTTTCTCATTTCAAAGTTTCTATTCTGGTCTCAAAATATAAGAATAAACAAAAGGAGGCTTTTTCTTATTAAGACCTTAATTCCAGGATTTAAAGCACAACAGTTCACCTTGATCTATATATTAAAAGGTTCCAGAGTTTTAGCATTAATATCACCACAATTAAAACCATTTCCCTCTTTTCCGCATGGTCTCTTCAAGCCAAACATTTCCGACATTCCTGACAAGCCCAAGGCTGCTTCGCAGTGGGGCTCACGAGCAAGTGCGGCCAAGAGAACTCAGCAGTCAGCTTCCCAACATTACTCCAGTTGACAGGGTGTTTTTTCATTTATTTTTGGGAAAAGGGATGCTTAGGCATAAAGCTTTCAAATCTGCACGTCAATTAGAAAACTGATAATGTTTAAAATACTTTCCGCATCACGTATTCTTTGTTTCAAACTTAACACTTCTAAACACTACTCCGTACAGACAGGTAACAGAGGTTTAGGTCTTTTCTATAACTGACCACCCAGGGCCTGTTATCGTAGAAAAGCTTCTTGTCGTGATGGAGAGCCCCAGCCAGATCCTCAGGCCTTTACATTTTCTTTCTTCTTTTAAAAAAAACAAACAATTAATTTGAGAGAGAGGGGAAGAAGGAGAGAGGAAGGGGGGGGCACTGATTTGTGGCTCCACGTATTTATGTATTCATTGGTTGCTTCTTGTGTGTGCCCTCGCTGGAGATTAAAACTNAAGAGGGGAAGAAGGAGAGAGGAAGGGGGGGGGACACTGATTTGTGGCTCCACGTATTTATGCATTCATTGGTTGCTTCTTGTGTGTGCCCTCGCTGGAGATTAAAACTACAACCTTGGCACATAAGGATGACTCTCTAACCACCTGCNGAGAGGGGAAGAAGGAGAGAGGAAGGGGGGGGCACTGATTTGTGGCTCCACGTATTTATGTATTCATTGGTTGCTTCTTGTGTGTGCCCTCGCTGGAGATTAAAACTACAACCTTGGCACATAAGGATGACTCTCTAACCACCTGCGCGGCTGGCCAGCGCCTGATGCCTTCTAGAACAGGTGGTCCTCACACTGCTTCCCTTGGCCCCCAGTCGGGAGGCCCGCACATCTGGGGACTGAAAGGAGCAGCTGGCCAGCCTGTGCTGATACAGATCACAAAGGAAGCGAAGGATTCAGGCAGGCCCATTACATAGACACCTCACAAACTATTAAACAAGTATCCAAAATGACATGCACACATTTCCAAAGATGGATCAGGCAGTCCCTCAGGAAATTTGGAACAGAAAAAATACCTTTTTTCTCCTGGAGGCTCCGGTAAGCTGTAAGCTCTTTGCTCTAGAAGACACAGAACAATAAAATGAAAACTAAGGCCGACAAACTAGCAGTCACGTGGTAGCCTGAAATGTACACACTCCACCATATTTGTTCATTATATACACCCCCAGTTATGAGAAAATAGGCCACTTTACACAAGCAGGGCATTGCTCTGGATAGCTTTACCACTTTCCCTAGTTTAGAGGGAGTGGAGCAGAGGCCAAAACCCAGCGACACTTCATGATTTTATGAACTAATTTAGCATCAGCAAGGGCAGCAAATATTTTCAGAAGTGCAGAAACTTAGTTCTATCTTTTTGGACATTTCTCACCAGAGCTTTATCCCTTATTTGTAACACTAATTCCCCAAGATACAGAATCAGTAAATATCTTAGCTGCTTTTTAAGTGAAGCTCAAAAGAAAAGTCTTGAAGGCCTAAGGGAGAGCCCATTTGAATACAGCTGCAAAGCCTCTAAGAAATCCTCGCCACAGCCAGTCCTGAGACGCGCTTTGTGGCTCGTGGGAAAGGGAGGGCCACTGGTCCCACTGGACTTCTGGGGGGTGAAGGGCAGGCTCATGCAAGCAGCCCAGCGCTAGTCTTGTTGCAGAAGGAACCCGAGTACTTACTGCAGGGATGGAGCAGAGACACTGATTTAGACAGTGAGAGAGGCTGAAGGAGGGAGTGGCCACTGTGGAGCCACCATCTTCAGAGCAGGGACAGACCCTTTACTGTTACAGCCCAGAAGCCTGAAGAGGCAAAACTAGGTTGCAAAGGAAGGTGGGCCAGATACATGAGGCGGAGCACTAATAAATACATGTCCCTGAAACGCGCCAATGTCAATGTTGAACCTAATACTGTCTTGTAGGCCACAGAAAATCTACTTTGAAGAATTTGAAGGCTTTACTTTATTGGTATTAAATGTTCCACAAATTAAGTCATGGGAAGAAATCAGTGTCCTTACTGTAAACAGGCGGGGGTACAAGAGTTACCACGAGAATAAAGCCTTTTGTCCGAACAGTCGAGCTAATGAGGTAACAGAACTACACTCGGGCAACCGGACAAAGCCTAACAGGATTCCACCCATCAGTGCACAGTAATTGTCAAAAGTACACTCAGTTCCTTCCTCAGAGTCTTAAATGTAGACGCTTTTGTCCGTCTCGGTGAGCTTATAATTAGCATCTCAATGTCGACAATGTCCCTTTCTATCCAAACCTATGATGTACCAAAGGGAATTATGTGTAGGATTGGGTTTTGTATAATGTATACAAGCATTAAATAATAAAGTAGCCATCCTTGTACTCTGGGCTCAAAAAAGATGAGACGTGACAGAAGTAATCCTCTGGAAGTGACAAGGAGAGAGATCACAAATAAAAATAAAGGGGCAGGAAGGCCACCCCATCTTTGTGCATCTATTACAGCCCATACAGGGGAATTTTCACTGGGACAAAAGGAGACTCGGAGCCTATTCAAATACAGAAAATGTTTAGGACTATTCAAAACCCATCGAGAGAGGATTTCTAACACCACAAATATCAACTTACCTCTGATTAACCTAAGCAAACTAAACACTGAAACGCCAGAATACGTCTTTGACTGAGTCAGGCTTTCGCACCTGTGCTTTGATCAGGGTTAAAATCATTCCTTGTTCCTTGAGAGTTCATCTGTTCTTCAGAGTCCCACAGCATTGTCTGTGGGTCATGGTGTCAGCCCAGACATTTGTTTGCCACCTTACGGGAGTATCTGTTGGAATCCGTGTATTTCGTGTGTAGCCTCTATCTAAAGTACCTGTTTGTCATTCTCACCTTTTGGAGAATATCAAACTTCACTCAAATAGCCCTGTTTTAAAATATGCTGTCTAAAGATAAGCTTCCATTCACAGAAAACTTAAGCATGTCCATTTTTATTCTTTCTAATTCAAACGCCAAGAGTTAAGGATTCTATGTTAGGCAAAGATACCCTTCCTGATTCATTAAAGATTCATAAGTAAGGGTTATCTCCCCTCATAAACATCAATTTCCTCTAAGTCATCTGCTCAGCAATTTCAAACTTGGAACTGTCTGACTTGGAAAATCAGAGATATTGCAAATATAAAGGCAAGGCCACCACTCTGCACATTTCACAGAAGACTTTAAAGTGTTTTCCAAGTAGTTATGGTATAAAGTTAACTCATTTTCTGGGACTATGAGTGAAAAAGTGTCAATCTGCCATTAAGAGGCCTCCCAGCCCGGCCGGGC